ATTTACGCTCGAGCGTTCATTTTAGCGCTCGAGCGGAAGGTCTCTCTACATGGCTCCCCGCTCGAGCGTGAACTTCCACGCTCGAGCGGACATCATGGTCTACACTCGAGCGTCCACTTTAGCGCTCGAGCGGAAGGTCTCTCTACATGGCTCCCCGCTCGAGCGTGAACTTCCACGCTCGAGCGGACATCATGGTCTACAAAAAATACTGGAAGCACGAAATTCACGCTCGAGCAGCGGTTTCCCCGCTCGAGCGGACATCAAATTTCTGTGTTTTCCAGATTGTGTTCTTGAGCTCTAATTCGATTTTCTACCCAACCTTTCTTGCATATAATAGCTCAAACTCCAAATATACTTGTGCTAACATGCTACAAACATCAAATTACAACATTCAGAAGCTTAATTTCATAAATCAAACACATGCATGGCTCATTTTCCACCAAATTCTTTATCAACATAATAATTTCATGCATTTAACACTTATACCTTTTTGAATGGCACATGCATGTGGCTTATTACTCTCATTCTCAACTTATATGATACAAATGGTGATCATAACATGAGTTTTAACCAAAACTCTACATGAATCATGTATTTCAAGCTCAAACATGCAAATTTAAAACAATTTCTTACATGCATGCACATATTGGCCCTCAATTCAACAAAACCAAATCAATTACATCATGCTCAAACAAATTCATGTTCTTGACCATTATTCCAATTTGCATTCACAAAATTACAACTTAATATTCATGAATCCACTTACCTAGAGGCTCAATTCTTCACAAATTATGGTCAAATCTAGAGTTGATCTTCAAATTATCAAGCTTCAAAATCAAACCCACAATCTCCTTCTCTCTCTCTCTCTCTAGCCGGCCTCTTCCTCTCTCCTTAGAGTTGAAATCAGCCCAAAATGTAACAAATGAGAAGAATTGAGGGTGTAGTGCCTCTCCAACAAAACCCACTAATTCCAATATAATATTAATAAAGTTATTAGGCACTAATTTAACAATTTAATCAACTTAATCTGGTCCGAATCAGTTTTTCAATTAAACTTAACCGTAGGCTCTAAAAATTATGCCAATCACAATGGCGCAATCAATTTCGGGTTTTGTGGCTGATAAGGCCTTCAATTTAATTTCCAAAGCAGATAGTCAAACAGATATTCCTACGGTGAACAGATAGAAATTTAAAACCACATATTTTCACATAATGGCACACAAAATCGTATTAAACACATAATCATACTCATATTAAGGTCCAATCATCATATTATGGAACAGGGATATCACATTATATCATGAATTGAGTGGATTATATCAAACAATTTATTTATTTTGTTTTATTCACAAAAGACAGATTTGTTCTTTGGTGGATTCCGTAGAATTTGAGCCTGAAGCTTTGGTGGATTCTAGAGTGGCTCATCGTTGTGGATTCGACATCAACGTTGTGGATTCAACGTTGGGCAAGATAATTCTGAGGTGAAGACCGTGGTGGAAAAGGCATATAAGGGTCAGTTCAATTCGGGCGTGGATTCGCTAGGTAATTGAGAGTACACTTGTGTAATTCCTTTTATCTTCTTAGTAGATTGTTTTGTGGCTTTGGCCCGTGGTTTTTTATTGTAACGCCCCCCAAAAAATACCATGGATATAACCCGTGAGCATACTTAAATAACAACATACATTGGAGTATAAAGTTCTTTCATTACATGAAGTTAATGGATACATGAGTTTAACAGAAGTAGATGCCTATTGGCTTACACCTTTCCAACCTTTAACTTTGTTACAACAAAAGCGAGCTTCACTTATTACATCTTAAGCCCTTGGCTTTACAAAAACATACAATCAAAAGATGAAGTTCTTGCTTCCTAAAATTTCTCCAATGATATTGCCTAGGTGGAGGCATGCCATCATTACCTGAAAAGTTATTCCCAAGTAGGGTGAGCCACAGTCCAGTAAAAATAATCTAACACAGTATATGGAATTTAACAAAGGTATATGTACAAATGCATAAACAACGCTCGAAATAACACTTTTCATAACTTTATATACCCGTAAAATATTCATTTCAAGTCTTAATCCATTTATTTTCAACTCATGTTCCATTCACTTACCTGACCTAGTTCATAAGTCCATTTTCTTATTTCTCAACAACCAAAATGAGACTAAAACTCACAAATTCTAAATCACATTATTAACATGCAAGGACTTCAAATTTTTCTTTCACGAATATTTTGTCCGTTGGCAGCCGTCAAACGAGACCCATGTAGACGTAGGCTATACAAGCACTACAATTGCCATTTTACGGATATTTCGTCCGCAGGCTAGACACCCATGTATAATTTCGGGACTTTTACCCAGGACACTCCGGCCAACTTAGTTATAATGGAATTTATCCCCTTTCTCCTCATGAACAATCATTCATACATATGCAATGTATTTAAACAAAAACTCAAACAATAGAGTATATCCTCTTTCCACTCCCAAATAATCATACATATACAATGTACATAAATATAGTTGTGAGAACCCGAAAGCACAAGTGATTAGTTCCAATTCACCTAACCCGTATGCATTTTCTACAACAGTCAATACAAGAAAATGCACTTTCGGCGACTAAAGCTTTAGTCGCCAAAAGTAAGGTTTTTAGTCGCCGAAGCCTTTCCCCGACTAAATATTTTGGGGTGTGACAATAGTCATGTTCAATGACAAGCACAAGTGATTAGTTCCAATTCACCTAACCCGTATGCATTTTCTACAACAGTCAATACAAGAAAATGCACTTTCGGCGACTAAAGCTTTAGTCGCCAAAAGTAAGGTTTTTAGTCGCCGAAGCCTTTCCCCGACTAAATATTTTGGTCGCTAGATTTGTCGCGAGAAAACGGTCGGGGAAGGTTTTGGCGACTAAAAAAGATTTAGTCGCCAAAAGTCCTATAAATGGCTACTAATGTTTTAGAAGGGAAAAGTGTGAGGTATTGGCGACTAAATATTTTTTAGTAGCCAAAAGTCATAAATTGGCGACTATATATTTAGTCGCCAAAAGTTTTCAAATAAAATTAATTTTCATTTTCAGCGACTAAAACTTTTAGTCGCCCAAAGTATCATTAATTATTAGCTACTAAATATTTAGTCGCCAAAAAAAATTAATTTTCATATATATTTTTTAGCTACTAAACTATTTAGTCGCCTAAAGTCTCATATATTTTTTACTACTAAATTTTTAATCGCTAAAAAATCTTTGGTTTGTTTTTGGCTACTAAATTTTTAGTAGCTAACAAGTTTTATTTTTTATTTTTGGCTACTAAACATTTAGCCACCAAAAACTTTATTCAGTGTTTTTTTTTTTCCTTTTTATTATTATTAATTTCTGCACAACCTGTATTTATTTCGTGCAACATGCACCCTGTATATAAACAAAACAATACATATGTCTATTTCTATTTCACTTTCAACCATCCAAAAATTTGGTCTTGTAACATCAAATTCTATACAAAGCAAACATAAGCCAACCCAAAATAATAATTCCATACAAATAGATAATCATACAAAAATGATGTCGTTCGTATACAAAAAAGAAATATCCACTAGTAATCTATACGACCAGATTTGGAATTAACAACCGGGCCGTGATACATATATTAGACCTTCAAGAAGTCACAAATAGCCAGAGAGAGGAAACTGCATTTTATGCATAAGATTGTTGTCATAACTTAAAAAACACCAGAGTCTAAGACGATATCAAAAGTACCCAATCTCCCAAACATTCACAATTCAAATAACAAGTTACAATGCCTCAAGGTTAGAGTGTCTCATAATCTAGATTGGGACTGTCATCTGCAAAATTCAGAACTGAAAACAAATAAATTTAAACTCTCCTTTGAGGTTCTCGATCCTGCTAAAAGCTTGTGGAGTACGCAAAATTTATGCAGGGATCATGTTGAACTGAAATCTAGACAACTGCTGCGAAATGGTGGATATAACCAGCCCATATCTCTGCCAACAAATAAACAAGGTGGATGCAATAAGATTTTTTAAATGAAAAAATGATTAGGAGATATTCACCACAGAAACTATGATCTCCCCATCCTGCACTGTAACAAGATTGTCCAATTTAGACTAGGCACTCACGGTCACAGCTTTAAAATGCGTTGTGTTTTTTTTTTTTTTAGAGGTTTAAAATGCGTTGTTATTTGGAAGGAATGTTAACTCACATATATAGCACAGGGAGTTTTCCTACCTAACCAACATGGGGTGGGATATTACAGAAATGGACTTGGTGAGTTTTCAAATTTTGTTTTCTAAAACTTTTCAAAAATTAGTTTGGTAACAAAATGAAAAAAAAACATGCATTTTCAAATGGTTCTCTCTTTTTAGGGACAGAAATATTTTTTTAAATTAAAAAAAAATTGGTGTTTATTTTTGTCAACTAATTTCTATTATACATGATTTTCCTATATATATCGGAAAATGTTAGAAAATCAATGTCAATAATGATCTGAAAGGAACCTCCAGTTTCCAGACAACGATTAAATGCAATGAAGTCATAAATTTGACTCTGACTAAAGAAGATTCAAGAAATGAAGAAGAGTCAAGAACATATATTTGTTTATTCATTAACTGTCACAACCCAATACACATCTATCAAGATCATATACAGTATTTATAATAAACTGATACACTCTATCTAACTATAGTTACAATTGACTATGGTTCTAACAACTTTACAACTACTACAGTTAATACTAATTAGTCTAACTAACGCTGACTAATCTAACTGACTTTCTGGTGCAACTGCTTCGGTAGCATTGGAGTCTTGGTCATGTTGGAGCAACTACGTCGACAGCATTGAAGTCTTCAACTGAGGTTGCTTATCATTCCCCGTCAAGCTGACAGAAGAAGAATGATCCAGAAGCTTGTGTTGAAGAAAGTTAAACCGAGAAACTGAAAGGGGTTTGGTGAGGATATCAGCAATCTGGTCAGCAGTAGCAAGATGTTTGATAATCAACTTTTGGAAGCAATACGCTCACGGACGAAATGACAGTCCACTTCAATATGTTTAGACCGAGCATGGAAAATAGGATTACTAGACAGAGCAATGGCAGAGAGATTGTCACACCATAGAGTAGGTGGGTCAAGAGGAATGTGAAGATCCCAAAGAAGCATGCCAAGCCAGCTAAGCTCGGCCGAAGTTTGAGCAAGAGCGCGATACTCTGCTTCAGTGGAGGAACGAGAAACAGTAGGTTGTTTCTTTGCAGACCAAGAAACCAAGTTGGGACCCAGAAAAATACAAAAACCAATAGTTGACCGGCGATCAATCGCATTCCCAGCCCAGTCGGAATCAGAATAGGCAATGAGAACAAGAGGACTTGGCTGAAACTGAAGACCCTTATCAAGAGTACCCTTCAAATAACGTAATAAGTGTTTGACAGCATTAAAATTACTAAGCAAAGGAGCGTGCATATATTGACAGGCAGAGTTGACAGTGAAAGCAATATCGGGGCGAGTAATGGTCAGATATTGAAGAGCCATAACAATACTGCGATACAAAGCAGGCTAAGCAAAAGGAAGATCAGAGTTGGGAAAGCTGGAGGATTTAGTAGCCATGGGAGAGGAATAGGGCTTGCAGTTGGGCATCCCAGCTTTGGCTAATATCTCAGTGGAATACTTAGATTGGTGCAAAAAGAAACCAGCAGCAGAAGTGTGAACAGAGATGCCTAAGAAATAATTGAGAAAACCCAACTCTTTCATGGAAAAAACTTTATGCATTTGAGCAAGCAACGAGGTAATATAAGAGACATCACTCCCAGTTAGCAAAATATCATCAACATATATAAGTAGAATGGTGATGGCAGAGGCAGTCTTCTTAATAAACAAAGAAGAGTCACAATGACTAGCAAGGAAACCTTGGGACAAGAGAAAAGTGGAGAATGTAGAAAACCATGCCCGAGGAGCTTGCTTAAGCCCATACAAGGCTTTATGCAGTTTACACACCTTATGAGGTTGAGAAGAATCAATAAAACCTGAGGGTTGAGTCATGTAAACCTCCTCATGAAGTACACCATGTAAGAAAGCATTAGATACATCCAATTGTTTGATAGACCAACCAAAATGAAGGGCAAGACACAATAAAATGCGAATAGTGGGCTGCTTTGCAACAGGACTAAAGGTTTCTTGATAATCAATACCCTCCTCCTGGAGATAATGTTTAGCCACTAACTGGGCTTTATAACGAGCAATGGAACCATCAGAGTTCTTTTTCAAACGATAAACCCAGTTACACCCAATGACATTCTTGTTGGGAGGAAGGTCAACTAAGGACCAAGTGTGTTGGAGTTTAAGAGCATAAAATTCTTCATGCATAGCCTGAGTCTAATCTGAAGATTGAGAGGCTTCTTTATAGGAAGAAGGTTCAGTGGGAACATGAGCCAGATGAGCAGCAGGAGAAAGATAATTAGATTTGGACCGAGTGACCATAGAATGAGTGTTGGAGCTGAGATGAGGAGAAATATGAGTAGAAACTGGAGCAGAGAGAGGTATATCAATAGAAATTGAAGATATAGGAATAGGACAAGAAGATGAAGGAACCGTAGAACTAGGAATAGACAAAGGGAGATCAGTAGAAGAAATAGGTTGATCAGCAGAACTAAGAACAAGAAGAAGAACAACTAGAGGGGTAGATGAGGAAGGAGAAGGGGCAGATGAGGAAGGAGAAGCAGAAGAAGGAGAGCTGAAAGAAGAAGAAACAGAAGAAGAAGTGGAGGGCCAGAAAAACGAATGCAACTGAGTAACTGATGGAACTGGTAAAGTAGAAGAACAAGATGAAAAAGGAAAACAAGTTTCATCATACACAACATGCCTAGAAAGATAGATATGACCTGTAGAGGGATCAAGACAGCGATACCCTTTCACTGACGGATGATAACCAATGAAAACACATGGAATGGACTTAGGTTGAAGCTTGTGGTTAGTGTAGGGCCTTAACCAAGGGTAACACCTGCATCCAAAAACTCTTAGAAAAGAATAATCTGGAGGCTTATTAAACAGCATTTCAAAAGGAGTAAGATTGTGAAGCTTAGCAGTAGGTAATCTATTAATAAGCAAGACAGCTGTAGCTAGTGCCTCAAACCAAAGGTTTAAAGGCAAAGAGGCATGATGCATTAGAGAAATAGTTGTTTCAATTAGATGTCTGTGTTTTCACTCAGCCACTCCATTTTGAGAAGGAGTGTGAGGACAAGTAAGGTGATGTAAAATACCTTTGTGTTTAAGAAAATTCTAAAATTCAGTAGATAAGTATTCACCACCATTGTCACTGCGAAGAATTTTAAGAGATGTAGAAAATTGAGTTTCAACTAAAGCTTTGAATTCAAGAAATTTAGAAAACACCTCACTCTTGTAATGAAGAGGAAACAACCAAGTAAATTTGCTGAAATCATCAATGAAAACAACATAATACTTGTAGCCTAATACAGAGGCAGAAAATGGGCCCCAAACATCTGAATAAATGAGAGCTAAAGGTTTATTAACAGTTGAATTGGACAAACTAAAAGGAAGCCTATGTGTCTTAGAGACACAACAATGAGGACATACATCAGAGGAAGTGTGAGAAGGCAAATAAAAAGTGTTAATGATGTGATGAAGCTTGGTGGATGAAGGATGTCCAAGTCTGAGATGCCAATTTAGAGCAGAAGTAGTAGTTGAAGAAGCAGTAGTAGTAGAATTGGTGCTCCTGAAGCAAGCCTGTGGAGAAGATGAAGAGAACATAGAAACTAATTGAGGAGCATGATAAAGACCCTGAGAATTAAGGCCTTTATACAGAATGCTCTTGGTATCCTTGTCCTAAACAACAAACTTATCAGCATCAAAGATAACAGAACAGTTATTATCAGATGCTAGTCTACAAATAGATAACAGATTAGAAGAAATATGAGGAACAAGAAGAAATTTTTGGAGTTTAAGTGCAAAAGAGGGAGTTGGAAGCAAACCATTACCAATGTGATGTATAGGAAGAGAAGAACCGTCGCCTATTGTGACTTGATCAGTGCCTTGATAAGGCTGATAATCAGAAAATTCATTCAAGTCATTGGTAATATGACTGGTTGTAGCAGAATCAACATACCAAGTAGGAGGAGCAAATGAGGACTGAAATTGAGGTTGAGAAGCAGAAGCCACATATGCCACTTTAGGTGTACCAACGGTTGAAGTGTGAAAACTATGATCCATGCGAAGCCAACACTCTAAGGCTGTATGATTATACTTGCCACAGATCTGACAAACAACTGTAGAACCAGTATTGTGCTGAAAATTATGTGACTGTGGTAGAGAATTCTGAAAAGATGCACTGGACGGAGACTGCTGAAAATTTGGAGACTGAAAATTTTGTCGTCCTCCTCGACGGGAGCTGCAACCTCTGAAATAGTGACCTCCACCTCGGTTAAAGAAATTACCTCTGTAGCCTCTAGTAGAACCATTAGAACCACCTCTATTAGAAAAGGATTTGGTAGTTGCAGCATAGGCAAAAGGTATTTCAGAAGCATGAGAAAGTTTGCTTCCAGCTTCAATATGAATCTCCTCAGAGCAAAGCAAAGAACTTAGAGTTGCAAGAGAAATTGAATCATATCTGGCTCGGATGGTAGTTTTAAAAGCATTATACTCAGCCGGCAATCCATTCAAGATTAATAGAACTATATCCTCATCATCAACAGGTGCACACGCTAGAGCTAGTTGATCAGTTATGGCTTTGAACTCATTTAGATATGCATCCATGCTTAATCCTTTCTTAGTGAGATGATTCATCTTATTCTTGAGTTGATGAATATGAGATCTAGACAGAGAAGTAAAACGGGATTGAAGAACATTCCATACCTCATAGCTTGTCTTGCAATGAAAAGCAGAGGTAAAAATAGCAAGAGACAGAGTAGCGGTAATGCAGCTAAGAAGATGAGCATCGATATTCATCCATTGAACATACTCAAGATTAGAAACTTCTTTATTGCTTGCATCGACAAGAGTAGATGATGGACAATCCTTAGATCCATCAATAAATCCGATCAATTTTGTTGCTCGTAATATATTCTACAACTGATTTTTCCAGACGATATAGTTAGTTGAACCTAACTTTACTGTGACAAAGGAACTAAGATTTGATACAAGTAGTGCGAGATTGGAAGGAATTGATTGAGACACAGAAACAGATGAATCTGCCATGAGAGAAGCTTGAAGGAGCTTCGAAGAGGAAAGAGCAATACTCATTGGAGCTAGGGCTCTGATACCATAAAGAAGATTCAAGAAATGAAGAAGAGTCAAGAACAGATATTTGTTTATTCATTAACTATCACAATCCAATGCACATCTGTCAAGATCATATACAGTATTTATAACAAACTAATACACTCTACCTAACTATAGTTACAATTGACTATGGTTCTAACAACTTTACAACTGCTACAGTTAATACTAATTAGTCTAACTAACACTGACTAATCTAACTGACTTTCTGATGCAACTGCTTCGGCAGCATTGGAGTCTTGGTCATGCTGGAGCAACTGCGTCAGTAGCATTGAAGTCTTCAGCTGAGGTTGCTTATCATCGACAACCAGATTGAGGCAAAACTGAAATCTTAATGCAAATTTGAAATGATGCATTGGAGTAGTCTACGCCCACATAACTTCTAACAACAGGAAAATTCTGTTTCCTACCATACCTGAACATTATTGTAGAGTTCAAACAACGGAACAGCAAGAAGTTTCAAATTTTTTGGCACTACAAAGTACTCTCTTTCAGAAAGGTGAACAAGGAAAAGTTTCTTGCATTCCTATGAACTTGTACCCAGGTAAAATGATTAACTAGAAGTTTATAACTTAAAAATAGTAGGCAAACAAGAGAGGTGAAGCAATCCAGTCAAACAACAAAATAAAATGAAAAAATCATAATGCAATTCCAGTGTACTTGGCAAGTTTACCTTTGGTTTTGTAATATGGGGAGGGCAGTATGGGTACGTACATTATGGTTTCGAAATTTGGTCTCCACCAGACAGCTACACACTCACCTATCTGCAATGGCATGACCGTAATACAAGAATAAGGATCCATTAAAGACTATCATATATTATAAACACATAATGGAGTCAAAGGAAAAAAAAATATATGGCATCCAGTCATTGATTTGCAGCGAAATGTACCCAATACATATAAATTATGGAATTTCACGTGTCCCTACTGACTGCTAGTGGAATTTTTGTATGTTGCCCATTTATATTCTGAACTGGCACTCACACAAACTATTCAACTAACCATACCAGCCAGTCTGGCTAAAGTGCAGGTGAATTTGCGTCAAGTTTGCCATTTAGCTTTCTTTTCAAACCTTTAACCTCTGTAACATTAATAAATGAGAATGGATGCTAGAATCAACACTCAAAACAACAATTAATCTCGTGGGCTTTTGTACTGCATAAACGGGGAAGAAAACATATTTCCATAACAATCATAAAGGGAAAAAGAATAAAATCGCACCAGTCTCCCCAGGCTTTAGAC